GGCCTAAGGAGCTTGACAATGCCAGGGTTACCTTCAGTGTCAGGAGTGCTAGGAAAGCTACAACCAGGACGCGTTACAGTGACTAAGGAATACATATCAGAACTCAGTCTCTTCCAGGTACCTGAGACTTTTTCACTTGGAACTTTACTCACCCCATGCCCTGCAGTCTTGGTACCCTTATTATGTGGTGTATTACACTTTTTGAATACATTTTTACTTCTCTTATACCTTCCCTTCATGGTCCTTTCAGGTCAAATATCCCTATCTTAATAACTGCAATACTCCAAAACACCTATTTGTACCTAAATTGACTATACACACATATGTTCTGAATATTTACACCACTTAATAAGGATTACAAGCCCACAGGGACAGGATATCTTATCCCTATGTCACACTGGTATTGGCCCCTTGAGAAGTGGCACTTGCTTACCTTGCTATGTTTGACATGTATTTACTAAATAATTAGTAGGGCTATAAAGTTACAATTACATTCATTTTGTAGGGGAGAAGAAGTCCCCCTATACAGTGGTATAAAGTTACACAGGCTGTGATGTCATATAGAAAAGTTATATCATTAATAATGTGTAAGTTTACTTGAAAATTGTGATTTTTGAAATTTCATAATTAAAAGTCCATATAACTTTACTTCTTTAGAAATTTTATAAAATGCATGTAAAATGTGAAAGAGTATTAAATAAGCTTTAAATTGATATATGTTGTTGATATATTACTTGATTATTACTCGCCCAATATTCATTTAACTATGAGACATCTCTGAAATATTAGGTGCAGAATACAGCATTGCTGTGGATTAGGGGTAGGGGAACTAAAAATGAAAGAACTTTTTTATTTTTGGAGTAATTTCACAATAATTTGCAATAACATTTGTAATTGCATGCCAAATGTAATGATAGAATAAAAAAATATGTATCCAAAAATCACCTATTACAGGGTTCAGACCACAATAACACGTCCGGGTCGTTGAACACGAATGTAGTGCATAAGGACATTTCAGGTGGGTTACTAAATAATTTTTCCTGTCTGAATTATGACAGATATGTACAGTTTTTTTTACATAGAATTGTTCAACAATATCTATTCTAGTGATTAAATTTTATTTGACACAGTTTTCAAGTTTGTCTTGGCAGCAGGACACAATGAATGATTAGGCTTGCGCAGTGATATTTTGTGATTTTTAGTATTTTCCCCTTTACATGCAGGGTAGTGACATTCAAATAAAATTATCTTTCTTAAATGCCGGTCATGAGGTACTCACCGTACGTTCAGTTTGAATAGATCTACAATATGAAATAGGAACCAGGCCCTGTGCAAAGTTTTAAAATATTTTAATAATTTATTTCCTTTGGTATAACATAAAGTAGAATTAATTGTGGTCCGAGGCCATATTGACACCGCAGGCGTAACTTAAATGTATCGGTTACCTCCCTTGGTATGTATGGAACCCCCGTCCGCCATACAAAATTTGAAGCACGTGGCGGATTTTGTATTGCAAAATTAACCATGTTCCCCTAAAATTTTTCATAAAACGTTTTATATGTTGTTTATATATGNTAAAATATTTCATAAAACGTTTTATATGTTGTTTATATATGTATTCTTATTAGTTTGCGAGCGTAGAAAGCAAGATTTATCAGACATTATTTCCATTGTCAAACAGATCGAGTGAGGCGTAGAGTAGTTTTTGAGTTTGCAGTATTATTCCAGGTTATATTTTATAATGTAGAGTATTTATATCTTATGATGGCCGAATGGAGCGAGTGTTAACAAACTATCTACAAAAAAATGGTCAAAATGTAGGTTTTTGGTGAAATGTTGATGTTTCTGTCTTGTCCTTCATGTGCATGTAGTTTATGCGAGCATTTTGGCAATTAAATATTGATTTATTTTGTCATAAATATGAAATATGATTTAACTGTTTGTCTTTTATTGTGAATTTGTACGAATAAATATGTACAAGGGCAACACCTAACGAAAAGGATATACATGCCAGACCTTTATGCTAACTTTGGTTATTATTCACCTGATAAAATGATGCTAAGGAAGGCGCTTCATTGTCTTCGCAATTTTTGATATTTATATTTTTTAATTGGTATAAAACATCACTGGTGATCATGTGTGCATGAAACCACATGTGAAAATATATGTTGATCTATCATGAAATGGACTCTACCTTTGAAATAACACTTTACCAATATACCTTATTCCAACAGATGGTATAGTCCTCTCTCAACTGATAGGGTCATCACCACACCGTGATATTGGAACAATAAGATTAGGTCGAATTCGGTTAAAACGACCTCACTGCAGTAACGGCCCTAGTAAAAACGGCCCGCTCTATATATAGTATATACTGTATAGTACTGCAAGTACTACAAGTGCGTTATACAAGTACATAACTTGAAATTATGTTAATAAAGTTACATGCGCTTTCAAGAAATAAAGATATGTACATGTACAGATAAAAACATTATAATTGTGTTTGTGTTTTCATTGATAGTTGACCCTCATCAGTCTCAAATACCTTTGCAATAGTGTTTTCTACTTCAGTGTTTATTTTAATTTGATTATTTAACTAATAATAATTGAGATATGGGAAGAGGGTCTTTGCTGTTTTAACAGAGTACCTCGGAGTATCTCAGAGTGGCTCAATTAAAACAACAATTAACGGGATTGGTCAGAGGGTGTAATAAATCGGACGAATGTATAGACAATTCTTCACTCATATTTCCGTTGCTGATCAGGTGTACTGGTCAGTATCGCTCATATCGGGTCAATTCGGTGCCTGGGAGGATGTCGGGTTGAGCCAGAAGGTGATTCCGTCGCTGTCCTGCATCTTGCACAGCGATCTGTTGGTGACCATCTTTGTCAAAGTGTGACAGCCTTATCGTCTGTCGTCTGTACATCTATCCGTGCTGGTGTCTGATTGTGAAATACAGTCCGTCTGTTAGTTCGCTATAGGCGAGCGTCCGTCGGCGATAGTTTAAGAAGTGTAGGTAAAACCTGCTGTTTACGACATGCCCGTTATGGAGGATCGAGACAACGAGGAGAGTAAGGCGAAAGTCGCCGATAGAACAGGTGAGCAGTATTCAAAACTCGAACAATGTTATAATGAAATATAGTTCTTCTAAATTAGCCAATAAGAGTCCCATACTAATCCAAAAGTTAATTACAGGTGTGTNTGTTATAATGAAATATAGTTCTTATAAGAGTCCCATACTAATCAAAAAGTTAATTACAGGTTAGAATACCCCACCAAGACCATCAAGGGCCTGGGAAATGGAGATCTTATAATTGCAAACAGTGAGTTTGTCATTTCACATATTTACAAGTACAGTACTTAATGTGAAAGAAATAGAATCGATCATTGCATTGTGACAAAGATCTGTTAAATTCTTCTTTTATTCCATTTTGTTTTTATGATCAGTCTCCAAATAAAACATGCACAACGAGGGATCAAGGGGAAACTGCATTTAAAATTTAAGGAAGATCCCTCCCGTACTTCCTAAGAAATAGCGATAACAAACTTTCACTATCAAAATCCAAGATGGCTGCCTGTCGGCCATGTTGTTTCTCCGATCAGTCTCAAAAGTCGCCATGCACAGCTATGGACTAAGGGGAACCTACATATAAAATTTGAGAAAGATCCCTCTGGCACTTCTTGAGAAATAGCTATAACAAGAATTGTTTAAGGACGGACCACGGACGGACGACGGACCACGGACGCAGGGTGATTTGAATAGCCCACCATCAGAGGATGGTGAGCCCGTGGGCTAAAAACTAAAATGCTGGGACTAACAAGCCTAGGTGAATACAAAATAACAGTAAATGTGCCAGTCAACTCAAAGAATGTCATGCAGTATCGATTCAGGTGATGAAAACTGTTCTTGATTCTCAACTTTCCCTGTGTACTGGTGATCCACACCATTAAACAGCAGCTGTATTCTACTCTTCGACACACCTGTACGGATTTTGCACTCCTCATCCTCTATCCTCATCCGTTTTAGTTTTTCAACTGATCTTTCGATCTGACTCGCCACATATCGACTAGATGGACTAATAGATGGTCTTAGTGACGATGGTGGGGTTTTTGCTTGACGCTTTGTCCTACATACTGACTTCTTATTTTCTTTTAAATTCTTTACACTTTCTGTTTTAAACTTCTCACAAGTGTTTGCACAAGGGTCACACACATGCATCAAATCAAACACCTCCAAATCAAGTTCAACACTTAGAAATCTTGAATAATGTCTTTAAAGACTGCATTTACTGCCTTATTTTTTGATAAAACATGTAACCTGCGTGTGTCACTGTTACAAAGCATACACTGCTTGAAACACACATATGTCTTGACAGGTGTCACATCTGCTACGGACGCTGCTAGCAGTTTAATGTCACCAACATTTTAGATTTCAACATACGGTATAACATGGTATACATAATTTAAATTATTAATTCTTAATTTGAATATGATGCAGACTTGCAGATATATTTAACTTATAACGAATGAAAAATCATGGGTACGTTCGAGTGCTGACCCGCATGAGAAATTGTTCCTAGGGACGCTACCATCAGAGAAACTATCTTGAAATTAGTTCCGTCAAGATGGAAGCTTACGTCATACATCCGAGGTTAAATGACCGAATCGGCCGAGAAGTTCCGAGTGGTAAGTAAACCGAACAAACATACAAACTAAGTCAATTTTTCTTATAATTGTCTGTATAAGATATAAAATTATATTCCAACAGAAATGCAATAGCGATAAAAATAGTGATGCAAATGCATTTATATGAATACTTTTCTAATTGCAGATAGACCATAGATTCCTTAGGTGCCCAGAGTTGATCCACGTCGACAATCAGCGCCACATCCTGTTTGCTACGGAGCAACAACTGTCCCTCCTCAGAAAATCCAGGCGCTGGTATCTGGACGGAACGTTTAAGGTAAGTCATGAGCATAACGTTAACCCTGAGTATGAGGATATGACATGCAAATTCTGATAGCTAATTATAAACTTGAAGATATATATTTATGGAATGACACACGCTGTCTCAGCATATTTATCATTTTGAATTTGTTTGAATAGGTACGGAAGGATACCTTCAAACAGCTTTACTCCGTACACGCATTCCTTCAGAAGGACAACTCCTGCAAGCAGGTTCCTCTGGCTTTCATCCTGATGTCCAGCCAGAGGACGCAGTACTACGAAGCTGTAAGTGATTGGTCATTAGATAAAACAAATATATATCATTGACTTTCTGATATTCTGTATTAGTAGAATCTTGGTAATTCAAAATATCACGTTGTTGGTACTTTCATTCATACCATTATCAACGAAAATAGCCTTTCTCATGTGTAGTCCTGAATGAGTGCCTTGGGGTCAGCCAGCTGTTCAGGGCTTTGTAATGGATTTCAAGTCAGGTAGGTTATAATATTCAAAATATAAACCAGTACATGCCATGAAAAATTGATCTTAATAACGGAAAAAAATGATATATATATATTCATATAAGATCATGCCGAGATCACATAATCATATGTTTATATATTTGATATGTATTAATTTCATTACAGCCTGTTGGACAGCAGTGAGGACCGTCTTCCATGGAGCAGAGCTGAAGGGGTGTTCGTTCCACTGGGCTCTGGCCGTTCTGAGGAAGGTTGGCAGTCTTGGTCTGCGGTCAACGTATGACCAGCGACAGGGTAAGTCCATATTAATTGTATTCTTTATATAAATTTTAGAAAATGAATCGTCATTTTTCTTGTATTTATATATTTATTTCCATTCAATGATACATATCAAATATCGGGCTAATAAATAATTATTATATGATTTTTTATTATTTATTTGTAGGAGTACACCAGTATGTGAAGCAGGTCCTGGCCTTACCCTTCTTACCTTCCGCACAGATTGAGTCGGTATTCCATAGCCTCAGAGTGAGGGCCAACACGCCGGAACTGCGTGACCTCGTCGGATACATCGACCGGCAGTGGATACGAAGCAGCAGGCTCACTGGTCAGCATCCAGATGAGACTGGGGTCCGAGTCATCACTCCAGATGCACCAGAGGACGACCTACCGCCGAATCCAGGGGAAGGTAGCGGAGCTGTGGGACCAGTATGACCAGGATGCCATCTCCACCTCGGCGTTCCTGAAGAGGGTGGGGCACGTCTGTGTACCGAGAGCGACGGCTGAGCAGCAGTAGGATGTGTGTACAGTTTTTACAGATTTGGACATTTATGGTTTGTAATTTAAAATATTGTATTAAATTTGGACATTTCTTTTACTGAAATTTTGGAAATAACTTCGGCAGACTAAATTCGTGTGGCTCTTACAGAGGGGGCCTCCACGTGGCAAGAGCTGGGCAACATCGTTGTAATGTATGCATTGTTGGCCGAAACCCTCTATTTATTTTCACTTAACATAAATAACAATTATCTTATTGGTTTGTTTGATTTTGTTTAACGTCCTATTAACAGCTAAGGTCATTTAAGGACGACCTCCCCTGTGTGCAAGATGCATGCGTGTAGTGTATGGGTGTGTATTTTGGGAGGCTGCGATATGTTCGTGTTTGTCTCCTTGTAATAGCGCGGAACTGATGCCGACTTTATACTGCTACCTCACTGAGACATACTGCCGAAGACACCCAGCAGGACGCCCCACCCGGTCACATTATACTGACAACGGGCGAACCAGTCGTCCCACTCCTAATTTGCTGAGCGTTAAGCAGGAGTAGAAACTACCATTTTTGAAGACTTTGGTATGTCTCGGCCAGGGGACAGAACCCAAAACCTTCCTCACAGGGGCGAACGCTCAACAAATGGCCAAAAGTGAGGCATTGTCAAGGGAGACATTAGGAAGAAGAAAGTTATTTAGAAAGGAGAGAAGAGATAAGGTCCCAAATTTAGTCGCCTCTTACGATCATGCAAT